TAGGAAGGGTCTAGGCCCGAAACGTCAGCCTTTCTGCTCCTGTGATGCTGCTTGGCCTGCTGTGTTCATCCAGCCCTGCACCTTGTTGTCAAGGATTCACTGTAATTGAAAAATAAACCTTGCAGCAAAGTGAGTGTGGGTGAAGTTCTTGGACTATGCTGTGGGGTTGAGGTTAAAGATTGAAAAGACGACTAAACCATTGATTTCTCAATATGAAAACGTCCTCCAATCATTCCTTCATCTATTGAGTTTCCTCTTTTCAAATTATTGTCCACTCCACATCCCAGCATGCTGCCTTCAATATCCAGAATTGACTTGCAATAGTTCCTTACCTCAGCAATGACCCCCAATAATCCTCATTGACTTTCATTTAGCCAAGCCCCCAAGGCTAACCATGGCTCAGCCCCTGATCTACTTGGATGGACAACCCTGACTGATCCTTATGCACTTCTCTGACTGACATACTACAATTCCTCAACTGGTTGCACTTCATCTGCAGGACTTATTGTGGCCCATTCTGCGGACTGCAGTAATCCAGACCTCCGATCCTGAATGCCCCAAGCAGACTGTGTCCAAGCTCTGGACTGATATTGGACACTAACTACCACTCTGGCTTTTATGTCAGGAATTATCACTCTCATTTCTATTTGATTGGTCAGAGAATGGGAAACTGCCTTGTCAATGAGGCAGGATTAAGTGCTAATGGCATGCTAATGTCAGCCGATGGATACAAATAAGTCTCTCACCATTCAGTTGTGAGATTCTCGTCTCGATATTCAAAACTTGGTTGGAGAATTGGATTATTTATTCTCGATGTCAACAATCTCATTGCTGCTGAGCTCACCCTATTTTCTCAACTGACTCACCAATGCCCACAGGGGCTTGGAAGATTCTGCCTATAATCATTGTTTTTGTATTTATGGTTAACATAGTTCATCACAAGGTTAATATAAGAGTTTTTATCTGCATCTAAATTTTTTATTATATTACATTTTACAGTCAGAAAATGTACAAGCCTTTTACTTGGTATATTTATGTATTTTTTTCACTTTCCTGTTCTTTATCAATCAGTCTGTTTAGTATCTGTTTATTTATATAACATTGCAAACATCCTTCTAATAACTGTTAACTATATGTTTCCATGTTAACACAAGCATTTTTTAAATCTAGTATTGAGTTCTCTACGTCAATTTGTCAGTCTAGATAAGTCTGTTTTTCCATGTTTTTACCTATCTAAATTTATCTACTATCCCACATATTTGCTAATATCTATTTGAATTTTTTTTATGAAGGTGATGAGGAGTTGCTGCAAGAGGTTCTCTTTGATGCTGTAGTAACTGCTCCAATTGAAGCTTACTGGACAGCTATAGCCATGAACATTTCTGAGTAAGTATGGCAATTGCAAAAAACTTCTAACAATAGTGAAGTATGTTTTAGAATTGTGCTAATTGTCAGCATTTGACATTCTTCTACTTTTAAAGATAAGTGAACAGGAAGTTTAAAATATATAGTTTTGTGGGGGGCTTCTGCTCATGAATGCAATCATTTAGGTGTGTGTTACTGATTAATTATTGCTTTGATTTGATTGTATATCTGCTGATCATTGAATGTATTTGTCAACATTCCTGTTATGGAATATCTTGAGTAATTGCTGATTTATGTTTAATAAATTATTAACTTCTTGATATTCCCATTAGTTTAATTTGTTAATTCACTTGCTGTCCCAATTAATTATTGGTGCCAACTATTCCATTCCTGATTGTTTTTTTCATTTTCTCGTGATATGGGTGTCACTGGCAAGGCTAGCTTTTGTTGCCCATCTTTAATTGCCCATGAGAAGGTGGAGGTGAGCTGCTTTCTTGAACTACTGTAGCCCATCTGATGCAGATATATTCACAGGGTACTTACTGCTAAGTTTATCCACTGCTTCATTAATCTATTGACAGCTGACTGCTATATTTTGATTCGTTTGTATGTCTGAAGTTCTGTTAATTTAATTCATTAAGTCACTGATGCATTCATAAATAATAACTTGTGCAAAGTTTGTAGAATAGACAAAAGATTGAAAAATATTCATTGAATATAGAGGTTATGATTTATATTTTACATTTATATTTTAATTTTAGTGGCATAGGCCTCCATAATATTATCAGGCTTACTTTATAGCTGGAACCATTATCCCTTTATTATTTGACATATGCCAGATGCTCTGTGTGGGTAATTCATGCTTTTATCCTGATATCATACAGAGAAAAGCATATATTTTGTCAACTTTCTTTGACTCTTCTACAGAAATAATAAAGATGGTGTTGAAGTGGCTTTCCTGGGCACTCGTGCAGGCTTGATGCGAAGTTGTCCCTTTGTAGGAAAGGAGAAGAGCTCAAACAAGTAGGTGCAATTTAATCAAATATTGGTATTATCTGAACTGATGCTATTACTGGATAAGTCAGATCCCAGATTGATATCTGGCTTAATAGATCGTTTTGGTTTTAATCTGGTGGTCTCTCACTAAAGCACAAGCATGCAGTGTCCAGATTTTGTCTTAACAATAAAACAGAAGTTTATTATGTAAAATAAATTAAGGTAAATAGAATAAACCAATATTTACTTATATCACCAACTTTTAAAAAATTTTAAACACACCAGAATTGCTTTTTTAACAACTTGATAAGTGTAATATAACTGTGACTTTAACTCCTAGACCAGCTGTGACTTTAACTTCTAGACTAAAGATACTCATAGCTTATTCTAGGAGTTATCATATATGCTCAGCTTCAAGTAACCACTTCAAGTTTGGAACAACTACTAACTAACTCTAAGATGATCTAGTTTTACTATATTCTCCCTTTCTCAGGAGTGTTGTTCCATTCATGCATCTCCATACAAGTACTTCACAGAAATTCCCAAATCAAAATAAAATTGACACAAAAATATCTTCCAACAAGCTATAGGCGTTTCCCTTAAGTTTAAAAATACTCCCTAAGTTTCGACATTTCTAACAGACCTTAAAGTGCAATGGTTCATCCTGCTGAGTCATAAACTCTTTAAGGAGACACAAACCCATTAGGATGTCAAAGTGACCTTCGCAAACTGATTTAAAAGAAATCACCGTGGCTACGTAACTTCTTACCAGTTAATGATTAACTTCAGGCATGCAGAAAACCCATATGTTATTAACTCAAAATTCAAAACTCGAACTTAAATAAATAATATTTTATATATAAAATATATATAAATCTCATATCATACAGAAATATGTGCACTCACATTTCATCCTTTTAAAAGTAAGATAAATTGCAGAGAGGATTTCATAATTTACTGGAAATTTAACAAAATATGTTTTGCAAGAATATGGTAACTGATTAGTTAAGCTTTTCTATTGAGCATTAAAGCAGTTAATTAAGTATTCAGTTGTTGGCAATGCTGGCAACTTTACATTTCAGGCATTACTAGATTAGTTTTAACTGAAAAAGCCTTCTGTATTTGCTACGTATAGCAAAATTGTAAATGGATGTTTGTTTACATCTACCTTTTTTTATCATAATTTCCAAAGACAGTAAATCGCCTTTGCTAACATAGTTAAATATTTGATCAAGGTAGTGATAAATTTGCTGTAGATCCATATGGGTATAATTGGGTGAGGATATCAGTCAGATTTCCCTTTCCTCCCACACAATCTAACATCTGCTGTTCTTTATTAGGGATGCAGTAAAAATTGTCATGGATTTTCTACAGCTTAAGTATTTGTCTCCCTGATCCTCCTCCTACATGCTATGGTTCAACAGGGTATTTAAATTTTGACTGGAAATCTCTTTACAGCTTTTACAATTATCCTGGCATAACTGTACAATTAACAGCAAAGACTTTTAATTCTGTCAGAAGTTTAAAAAAAACAGATTGCTTCTTTATTTATCTGATTCCCAAGTGTTTCCATGTTGCTCTCTGCTACTTGTCACAATGCAAGCACTATCAATTTAATTATGATAAAGGATATCCTATATTATGTAAACTAATGACTCCTGTTTATTTCCTCCTCCATTATGCAAAGTATAATGAGATCCATGTCAGGCCTTGTATTATTGTGGAACCAACATAATCTTCCACTGCCTCCGTAGACTGGGGAAGAATTGCAGCATAAACAATCAAAGTCTCCACAACAGTGGTGCTGCACTGGATTTGTAATGCCATATTTAATGAAGGGCCTTCCAGAAGCACAGCTGAAGAACAAATGAATGAGATCTCAAAGAAGACAAATTAGACAATATGTGCTGAACATTGCCTTCTCCAACCTATAAGTAAAGAGGCAACTGTCCTTTGCGTATTTTACGATGACACATTCATGCATTTTACCTTTTCCCTTTAACTATCTAATCTTTCTAAGTGAAATCCTCAAAAAAAGGAAACAAAATAACCTAAGAACAAAAAATCTTCTGAAAACAGAACTTTTCTTCTGTGTTTTTTATTAGCCTCATTAGTATTTGCATAAAGTGCTTCTTTCTCTTACTAGGTGCATTACTACTTGCTAAATATTCCATTTTAAAGTTTGCATGACTATTTATAACAAACCTTCCTTTTTATATTGTGTTCCTTCCTGGTGTTGCTTCATGGTGTTTTTAGTTCTTTCCTGATTTTTCATTTGAATGTTACCTGAGGTACAGGAACATGAGATGTTTAACTGCAATATGGTGTCCTGTGGCTTTTAATGAAAGTTGTTTCTGATGAAGGGTCTAGGCCCGAAACGTCAGCCTTTCTGCTCTTATGACGCTGCTTGGCCTGCTGTGTTCATCCAGCTCTGCACCTTGTTGTCTTGAAAGAGTTAACACTTGGTTAAGTGCAGTAAATATTACCCACAGTAATGATGTCATGAGGACTTGGTCAGTGTAAAAAAAGAGCTTGTAGGAGATAGAACTGGGGTAAGTAGGTTCCTCACTGCAGTAAAGTTGAATATATGGAATCTGAAATTAGTTACAGTAATGCAACACACCTCAATGCTTACTCAACAAGACTCCTCGAGTGAGGCCAAAAAGGTGGATATCATAATTCTTTCGAGAGCACTTCAGACTTGAAGAAAACCACATACAAGGAAGTGGCAACAGTGTGGCAACACACAATACAGATGAAGAATGAAGCCAATGACACAAAGCATTTCTGACATGACACAAGATGTGCAGGAACAAAAGAAACCTGCAGGTCCAAGGTAGAGCTCACATCATGAAACAGTGCTCTGTGGGAATGGTGCTTACTCTGATTTAAACCGGTGAGCCAACCAGATGGTGAGGATTCCATGAGTCAACACCAAAAATTGTTTGTACAAGAGGGAAGTATTAAATTGTGCAGTAATTCAGTCTGCAACAATTACAATTTTAAAGAGAAGTCACAACTCCAATTGGATGCTGCCATGATAATGCATGGATATCATGAGGCAGGGTTGTGAAGATGAAACTAAAGAGGACTACAGGAGAAAATTTATACAGTGGAGAGTGTTAGGAGTGGAAAACTGGAAAAATTGCTGACAAAAATACTTAAAGGACTTAAGTTTGGAACAAATTAAAGAAATACGTAGTCTGATCTGAGTAAAGAAATTTTTTAAGGAAGAGCTACCCACACAAAGAGATAAATGAAGTACAACAGTCTCCCGTAGAGGTTAATCCCACTGTTTTCCTAGAGAAAATCAATGACCCAGATCAAACATTTACATCAATGGGCATCTCATCAATTTCAGTTTAGACACTGGAGTATGCATCACATTATTGTCTTTTCGACAATTTTGCTTGAAAAACACTGATTACAGCTGATAGAAGTTCAGCTAAATCGTCCAATGGGCCTTGAACTTAACTCCTCAAGGTACACTACAAGAAACTCTCCAACATAAGGGACTTCAGATACAAGAAAATCTTTATGTACTGTGTAATCAAAAGTGTCACTCCTGAGTAGAAGTTACTTGTATTGATCTCAATTTCTTTCATTAGGTGGAAGAGGTTAAACAACAAAAGATCAAGAAAAAGCCAGTAGAAAATTTTATGGTCCCTGTAAACTCATGGTAGAACTTAAAGAAAAAAACAAAATTTTCTAAGATTGGTCATATTGGAGTGAAAATTTTGTTTTACACTATCAAAGAAATGGAAAGAGATCACTATGGTGGTCAAGGTGAAATGTTTGGCACTGCTATCAAAACTGAAAGAAGTTCAAATTTCAACTTACAACAAAGTTCAAGATGAAGTTTAAGCAAAAAGGCAACAGCTGCACTATTTACATCATGTAAGAGTTTGTGTAGTGATAGACGGACAATGGAATCTGCAAGTAAATGGATTCGGATTGCACAACAGTGCATAACTCTTCGTGGCAAATACAAGTCTGACATTAGATGCCGAGATGATTAGAAGGGACAAGTTCAACCAAAACATCCAACGTCTCCATCTTCCAGTGAAGAATCTTCAAAAGCAGCAAATTCCACATGATTCAAATTGAAGATGTGGTGCACACAACTCCATGGAGGATAATTAAGAAGAGTCAAAAAATGTGCAAAGATCCAAGATGTTGCAAAGAGAAATCACCTGCTACAGGAAGGACTACACCAACAGCTGGAAGGAAAAGACGTACATTCCAAGTGCTTTGCAAAAGAAATAAAAAAATGTTCAAAAAAGAACTACGGAGCTCAGACCACCAGGAAGACATTTCAAGTCTCTACCCACCAAGGTAACATTCTTCCAAAGCTGCAGGGAGCATGTTTTCGGAGAAAATTGGAAATTCTAGATCATCTGAATTTGTGAAGTCAAATACATGGGTTGCAAGGGGAGCTGAGAGAGATGGGATAGGGTAGAGGTAGTAATCAATATGTAAACAACTGTATAACAATTTAATAATTATGAGGGAAAATACTTGTGAGGGAATATTGTATTTGGATCTGAAAGGGTCCAGAATGTATATACTTGATTGAATGCAATAAGTATCATCCACTGTGATGATGTGAAGGGAACTTGGAAAGAGTAAAGAAGGAGCTTATAGACAGTAGATCTGGGGTTAGTGTGCTCCTAACAATCCCCATATCAATATTTATGTAATACTCTTCATATTGTTTATTCGACAAGACTCTTACAGCTAAACTGGATTTCAATACTCAATCAAACCGGGCTTGAAGGAACACACATGCAACAGGTAGCCCTTGGAGGCCAGTGACAACCACTAAATTAGCTTTTCAAGTGGAATAGCAGTGTGATCCTTCAGCTTCCTGCTTCTTTGACCAAATATCTGAGGGATGCCAATTGGAAAATCAATCTCACTCCTTCTGAACACACAAAGGTAAAGGGGAATTCACTTTTAAATCCCGTGTTCTACAGAGTCGCTATATGATATTGACCGTTGTCCCACCAATTCAGTCCAAGAACTGT